AGAATCTCTGCTTGCATAGGCCACTGTACATGTCAGCTGGTTATGGACAAAGTTCTAGCAAATCGATGTCTGAAACACGCTGGAGGGTATGCACAATTGGACATCCAAAACTAAAATGTATGGTCAGCATCCCCCCCCACCCAAACCATGTAGTCTTGCTCAACGAATGATGCTTTTGCAAGGAACTTGATCCGGAACTGTTTTGCTGGGTGAAGTTTACTAAATTGAGAATATTACAACCGGCCAACATGCTCCAGAGTCTGTCATGTGGCCCTGGAGCTCCTGATAGGCTTGTATGTATGTTATTGTATCACTCATATGCTCCTATGTCCAGAAATGTAGTTTGTCCCCAACCGCCGCTAACGAGTTAAAGGGCCATATTGGATTTTACTATCATCTGATCACCCCACAACATAATGAACGATTTTAGTGTATTTAGAGAAATGCCGGCCATCTTGGATGCCATCTTGAATTTCTCAAAACGCTCAAGGGTTACCGAGGTTCACCTGGCACATTCTGAAAGAGGACACTTTAGGCTACTAAAATCAATCATAAAAAAAAACTTTGTAAACAATTTCCAGGTTCGGTCATAGTTCTGCCAGAATAATAGTGTGGTGAGAATACTCCATCGGAACTTCACCTTCAGTCATTACCTTCAGCCATTTTCAACCAAAGGTAGATCCGTGTCATTCTGAACATCATTTTGGCCCTGATAATGAATTTTATGAGTGAAAAATTTATTATCAGGGCCAAAATGATGTTCAGAATGACATAGTCTTTGAAAAATGCTTTTCCATGTCACGAAAATAGAAGATTTGGGGCGCCATCTTGGATTTCCACCATCATGGATTCTGACAATCTCATTTAAGATAGTGGGAATGGACTTTACATACCTGAAAAGCATAAAATAGACACATTACAAGCCATACCTGACCTTTCTAAGTGATCTGTCAAGCTCAAAACGTCCGAAAATCCAGAAAATAGTCTCAATTTTGGAAAAAATGGCTGCCGTCAAGCTCAAAACGTCCGAAAATCCAGAAAATAGTCTCAATTTTGGAAAAAATGGCAGCCGGCAGCCATTTTTGGCAAGAAAATTCTGAAAATATTACGGTGTAAGTTTGACCCCGAGTGGACTTCGGTGACGGGTAGAAAAATGTATATTTAAAGCGAAATGCTTTAAATAGCGTTACTATTTTTGACTATATGTATATATGAGATGTATTTGCAGAATGCATTAAACAAAAACCAGATGAACTTAAACTTCTATTAAAACTTTACTAATAAAACTAACATGGCCGCCACTTTAACAAAGACAAATGGAAATATAAAACATCTAAAAGTTAACAGATACCTGTAACTTCTATCACTGGAACTTTACAGAAACCCTACCAATAACTACACAATTATATTAAATTGAAGAAGTTTCAATAATAAAAAAAACTATCAGCTCGAAACTGTTGAGTAGAAATTAATTCCTGCTGCTGCGACATGACGTAGTCTACATACCGGGTTGGTGGTTTCGTCTCTCTCCCTGATCTTCTTGGAGCGGGGCTTTCTGACAAAAGTGGTTCATCTGATGTGTCTAAATCTGAGGCTGATGCTTGAGGCGTATTTGCACCATCTTGATGTAAACTATCAAGCTCAGGTTCCATTACATCCTCTCTATCCTGTGTTTTGGGCTAGCTGGGCGCAGGAAATCTGCGCTTTCTATCAGATAAACAGGCTCATCTTCTTCACTTTCTGTCTCTTCCGGTTCTCTAACTTCTGTCATCTTCGATGGTAGTTGGACTCTCCATGGTTTAGGTGTTGGTCGATTGCTGATGGATTCTACTTCAGGAAGACTGCTGATCGGTAATAAATGGTTACGATGTAAAGTCCTTTTTCTATTTCCCCCTACTTCCATCAAGTCATACACTGGAATTCCTTTGTTGAGTTGTCTGACAATCTTATATGGTTTATCCTCCCATTTATCTGCTAACTTGTGTCTTCCTTCCTTGAAAGCTAATCTCTGCACCAGAACTGTATCGCCATGCTCTAGGGTGTTTGTTCTGGCTCTCAAGTTGTATTTATCTCGTTGGTTCTGGTGGGTAATATCCACAAGGGCTGAGGCGGTTAAATACGCATGTTCCAGTCTCTCCTTCAGGGGCCTCTTTATCCCATAGGAGTCCAAGCATAACATCAACAGCTAATGTTGGCTTCCTACCAAACATTAGCTCATACGGAGAATTGAAGGCATGAATCAGCGGTGCAACGTAAGATTTCCAAACTTTACTGAAAACCTATCAATAACTACACAATTATATTAAATTGAAGAAGTTTCAACCATAAAAAAACTATCAAACTAAATGTTGACTAAACTTATGAAGGACAGAGAATGGAAATATCCGCTGGTCTTCATTAAATCAATACAAAGAGTGACCATAGTATAAATGGTGTTACCAAACTAAGAAAGCTTCAGGTCAAAGTTCAAATAAACTACCAGTGAGCTGGGTGAACTGGAACTCACTGGAAACCTTTAGGAAGAGTGTATAGAACAGGATAGTTTAAAGAGGCAGTGATGTGTGACATATTATCTAAGATTAAATTAGCATTGTGACCATATTAAAATACCTATAAATTAAATAAAATCACTCTACCACATAGTTTGCGACAAAAATCCATTTACTAATTGTTTACTAATTTTCATTACCACACAATTCAAATCCAAAATTCAAATTAATTATTTTCCAAAGCAATTCAATGGGCTGTTAGAACTTTTTAATGTAAATGAAATATTTCCTGTAAAAAATGCCAAACAAAAACATTACATCAAGTGGGCTTCATTGAAATCTTTTTAGATGAAAAATAAATTACTTGCTGATAAAAAAAAAATATCATTTAATGCTTGATGCTGCAAGCTATGCTTTTCCAATCATCGCAGCATGGGTAAAAAACATCAGATACCAAAATATAAAATGGAATTGATAAAGTCTTTATAGATCGGGTTACAAATTGAGGTCATATTAATAACAGCTTTGAGCAATGAATGATGTCCACAAGAATACATGCCAACACTGGTCAAAAATAACAACAGGTAAAATTGAACTAATCAAGAAACAAGAGGATCAGATACATCTTAGACTCGGATAAATGTCGAGTAGTTTTCTCATCTACGAGGAGAAAGAACAAGCGAGTAGGATTGTTTCCTCAGGTAATGAATGAGAAAATAGACAGTACCATCCAGTGATACCATGCCACAAGAGATTTAATTGTGCTAATTCCTGAACAATAGCAAATACCACTTAAAAGTGCTTCCAGCCTAACAACAGATAATTCTGTCAATGCCATCAGCTTTTACTAGCTTCTGGCTATTTTCATTGTTTGTTTAAAGAGGATTCTAGTTTAATGTGACATTATTCATTTAGTTTCAAACAAATCACACCAACATCTTTTTATGGTAAATTCACAGACATGATTATATAGTAAGAAGAATCATTAGAACAACTCTATAAGTATCTTCCAACAGGCCTTCAATAAATAAAATCCATGTTCAGTCATATACTCAAGTGAACAATCAGCGAATCATGGGTCAATTCTCAGCTGAAGATCAAATCTATACAAAAAACTTAATGATAATTCGGTCAGTTTTGTCTACGCAGTTATATTTTCTTTTAAAGAACATCATGTTTATTAACATGATTATGATACTTGTCAGTGTTCATCTGATATTTTCTTAGAGGATTTACCTAGAATGTTCATAAAGCATGTAGAATGTGGTCATACAAGTTGTTCAATTTTTTAAAAAGGGAAACAATTTGCAACATAAAATATGGGAATTTAATACAACCTGGTATCATATTATTAATTAATTCATTAAAAATAATGAGGCAAGACATATCCAATCTGGTTTTAATCCATACCACAATGCAGAATATTGGCAGGTCCTTTGTCCAGATTCTTCAATAGATTTGTTAATTACTGTACAAGAAAATATGTCATTGATCAGTTTTGTATCACCAAATATTTAATAACCAAAGTACAAACTATATTTATCTATATGAAGTTTTTGGGAAAAAACTTTCCTTCCCTTTAATGAGTAATCTTAAATTATTCTATAATAACTGGAAAACGAGGAGGGGTACGGCAACACTCCCTTGAATAAGTAGAAAAGCTGGACAGGCTAGTACATCTGCGTAGGATCTGGATCAAAAAATGATGCCGGCGGGGCGGAGTAGTAGAATAGATAAAATTAAAGAATCCCCGCCAAAGAAAACCAGCAACAGACTTGTAGATTTAAAAGATCTTTATATCAATCCAACGTTTCGGGTGCAATACCCTTATATCCAACGTTTCGGGTGCAATACCCTTTAAAGGGTATTGCACCCGAAACGTTGGATTGATATAAAGATCTTTTAAATCTACAAGTCTGTTGCTGGTTTTCTTTGGCGGGGATTCTTTAATTTTATCTATTCTATAATAATTATAATTTTCTAAAAGAAATGAAAGAAGATCATTCAAAAGAGAGAATCATGAGATAATTTTCTAAAATATGAGAGTGTCATGCACAAACTATTAGTATTGTGGTAGTATTTATGTTAGTATATTATTAGTAGTTATTATTAGTACCATCTGAGACAACAAATTGCATATCAGTTCATTCCGAGAAAGTTGAAATAGAGAGATAGAGTCACGAGTTAAGAAGTCATCCCAACACAAACTTCTATCCCACAAATCTGGAAAAGAAACATATTCTGATAAAATAAAAATAAATTTCACAATTCCACCATCTTTATTTTACAAATATGAAAATTTGCTCACACACATGAAGTTTTTAAAAAATTAATATCAGAAATAACTGAAACTACACAAAAACTTGGAAAAAGCGAAAAACACAAAATTTAAGCTACATTCGTAAAATTAAACATGTAAAAGCTTCAATACATTATCAATCAAGATGTTACAGATGAATCATACAATGACCTTAACAAGAAGGTGGGTCAACACCTCAATCACAAACTTACCCTCAGCTTGTTTGTGTGTTGGTATTAAAACACTGCTATCTGTACCAAAAATACAAATAAATACTCATAAAATATCGCTATGAGAATAACATTAAGTAACAAGTTGGAAATTTTGTAAATCGCAAAGTTGTTCAAGGAGGTGTTCTAAAAGCTGTATCCCTTTAAAGATGTCATTTATTGTACACCAATGCTGTTTAAGCAATAAAATAACAAGGGTATGCCTTTGCATCATTTTCTAATGAACAATATAGTAATACATGCGGCTAATATCAATCACGTCAGCACAAGCTAATCTGTTATGTTAAACCATCTGAAGATGAAGGTGTGACATAAGAGCTAGATTACAATAATGGTTGTTCTTACTCTTAGCAACCTATTTTACCTGAAAATCAAATCACTATTAAATATTAGTCACAAAAACATTATATTTAACTCTATTAGACTGATTTAATTTAGTCTATTATTAGACAATGCACTTTTAATTTATTTTCATACAGATCTTTACTCTGAAGGTATTAGTCATCATTGCTTGCTCCTTATTCTATGGTCCAAATTACGAGTCAAGTGAACTATGATTAGAGTACTTATGTATTGACTTTTACTGTACCAGTCGATGCAATCATACCCAATTCCATAAAAAATAGGATTAAACCTTCTCTGCATCTTATTAACTCCCGAAATTTAGTTATTATTGGAAGTGAGGAAATCTACCATCTTCTAGCTATCTAATTTATAATTTAATTAACACTTCATATATGTATGTATGTGTGTGTATGTAGTATAACAATACTCTTTCATTTATATACCAATATACATAAAATGTTGCAATGTTCATGTAAATTTACTATTAATTTTCTTAAAAATAAAATGATAGCTTAAGAGTTTGAAGACTCCCCATACACAATGTGGGACTCATTTTAAGCAGCCAGCAATAAGATTATCGTATATTTTCTGTGGTCAGAGATTAAACTGCAATAAAATCTTCCCAATGCAGCAATAAATGTGCAATTTTAGGGTCTGTATCTAGATAAACCAAAAATGATCTATCCCATATCCCATACCTACAAACTCAGTTAGAGACATTGTTTTCTCACTAAATTTCTGCAGCCAGGCGATATAAAGACGCAAATCAGATTTATTTTTATTTTGCTTCATTTTTATCCAATTTATAAACCCAAATTCCTAAAATATGATCTGCTTAAGCCATGATTTTTACCCCAGTGTCACTGGCCAAGTCAACAAGACACATTACGATTTTATAGTAGTTAAACTATGACGGCAAGTCTTTTTTTAGAGATGCTAATTTATATCTGGTGATTGCTGCAATGGAGCTAACCCTTAATTCAACTCGTCCATATCCTAATTAACGTAACTACTTCTTTCAATGCAAGTCCACGTAATTATGCCCTTTATTGAATTCAAGCACTGAAAAAAGCTGATAACGAGTAACTGGTTTGCTGAATTGAAGCCATGTTAATTCATTTGGTTTCATTTATAAGTGTGACAGTGAAGTCTTAACCCAAAACTGTCACCTCATATATTTATTACAGATATTAATTTAAATTACATTACTTTGTGCAGACATATTTTTTGAATAATTGAAATAGTCAATAACTGACAATAAATTTTTGGCTATGCTACGTAGGAGAATATTCAATCATTTTTTCAATTAAAGTGAGCATAAATCGCAATAAATTTCTATAGACAAAGAAAAATTGATTTTTGTCATTAAAAAATATATATATTTTTCGTTAATGAGACATTTTTGTTTTAGAGGTGGGTTAAAAAAGAAATTGTTTGATTTGACGAACAATTTATTGGGCATTTACAATTAGGCTGAATGCAAAATTTGAGTTACATGTACACTGTTTTAACTTTCAATTTCTTTTTTATTTTGTAGTGGTTAACAAGCTTCTTTGTGTCTTAAATCTGAGCAAATCAAACTATGTGCCGTATAAATAATGGCTAATTATTTTTATAAACCACGACATTCAATATGGCACCATGAAAGCAATAGAAATATACATAATTTAACTTTGGTAATGATGCATCTGCATAAGCTTTTCTAGAAATATTATTTTGGATTGAGCATGGTCTAATGCTCAAATAACACATTATTTATGTTCCAATTACTAAATGCCATTTAAAGAATATGGTCTAATGCTCCATATTGGACACTCTTATGTGTGGTGAATTTACCGAAATTTTAATACATTTACCAGTGTGTAGGTTTTTAAAAAATTTATTTTATAAATTCGAATGGACAAAAAAATATTGTGACTTCTGTAAAGAACATGTAGATAATTACTGATACCTTACAATTGTTGAAATCGTATAATGTGTAAAGATGTATGACAATCAATGTCAACACAGGACACATAATACATTCAGAACGGAAAGGCTGAAAAACCTTTCATTTCCATAATTACAACTAACTTAAGCTTACAATTATTATTACCCTATTATTACTATAAGTAGACACTTAATTTGCATGTCACTATAAGTAAACACTTATAAATATATGATGTTTTAAATTCACTGAATAGAAACAAATCTTTCTGATAGTTTTAACCTTCCAATATAATGATATGTTGAATACTATTTTATTTACTATGTATGCATATAGGTAATTAGTGGTGTGTGCTATTTTATTTTTCATATTTACCCCCCACACCCATAAATATATATTAAAGTTACTTTCTATCATTTGTGAACAGTAACAGGCACATATATCTTTGGAGAATCATATACCCACCCAGTACCCACTCACCCGAACTCCTGATCTCCAATGATTCTGTAACTTATATGTGTAATGATCAAATATATTGATGTAAAAAAAAACATCGTACTTTCACAGTATATATTGGATTTATCTATTATTTGAATTTGTGGTTTATAGAGAAATCACTATGTCTTTAAATAGACAGATAGGACAGCTAAATAACTGTAATTAAGTCAGTTACTGGAAGACAAGCTACAGTATGGTGTGTTCTCATTCTATAGTGAAGACTTGAAGAAAGTTAAAAGAACCACAAGTAGAGCCAACAGATTACTCTGTCTATAACAGCAATAAATTCACAGATTATCTTCCTACCATTGTATTAAATATTGAGAAGCTGCATTTTGTTTCAGGTAGTTTCATCTGAATAGAAATGATTTAAATTTAATATTCAATTTCTTTACTGCAGATTTAGTTTTTTTAGAAAAAAATTGGTGAAAAAAAGAATTTTAAGAAGACATTTTGGAGTATTTTAGAATTCTTGGTGGGGGAGGGGGTGTTGATGAGAGGGGCTTTGCATTCAGTTTTACATTTTAAATTGTCTATGGTGTTCTTTGTTTTTGATGCTTCACTGTCTGAGTCAAGTGACTTGCAGAGTACAAACTTTGTGTTTTGTCTTTTAAATGTATACTTTACTATCCTTCTATAGTTATACTAATATACATGTACATTGTTAATTTTGTTGAAGAACTGTTGCCTCCATAAACTATGGCTATTTTTGGCTTCATAGCTGAAAGTAGCGATGGGTGTCACGAATGACAAGGTTATGTTTTGAACCTGGCGCACACTATGCAACAACATAGGCAATTTCGGTTGGCGATGATTAAAAATAAAAAAATTGACACCCAGCTGCTAGCCTTTTTTCGTCAGCAGCAACAACGCGGCGATGATAGCGGATATCTGCGTGTTTCATATGATCGTTAAAGTCGTGTAATGTGCTCACCTTGGTGTCATATTATGCGATAATCAAGGAAATAAAATCCCCTATTAAACCAATCAATTTTGGTTATTTTTCTCATGCAACATAACCAAACACAAGGTTTCTCTGAAGTTTTTTCTGCTGCATGTATAAGTGGCTTGGGTAATTTAGATTAGGCCTAACTTACTTATTGAAATTAAGTTTGTGATTTTGACAACAATTAAATGTGTGAACTGTAAATTTTATTTTGTTAGATTATCTTAAGTAAAGATGATAGTCTGTAGGCTCAGTGCAGGGGTCCATCAAATGGGCCCAAAACCATACCCAACTTTTCTGGAGTAAAATTTTGCGTAGAATATGATGCCCAGTGGTAATCAGAGTCAGCCATTGGGGTGTTTTCGAGATATATGGGGTCAAAGATCAAATGAGGTCATTTGCACTCAAATTGAATGCACAGCCATTCTTGTATCATGAAAACATGCTGAAAATGATCGAAAGTAATCACCCTTTCAATAAGAATGTAAACTTGCTAAATTCACCTTTGTTCTTTGTGACCACGGAGATCAAAAGGTCAAATTTTCCATTTTTGCACTGGGAAGATTTAAAGCCATAAAAGTCAGCATAAAATATAAAAACTAGAGCGAAACCTGTTCTAATTAATAACAGTAACATTTAAAATTTATCTTAGCACCGAAGTGGTCTTAGCATTGAAGACACAACATTTCTAGAGTATAATTTTGCGTAGAATATGATGCCTAGTGGTAATCAGAGTCCACCATTGGGGCGTTTTCGAAATATTTGGGGTCAAAGGTCAAATGAGGTCATTTGCACTGAAATTGAATGACAGCCATTCTTGTATCATGAAAACATGCTGAGATCAAAAGGTTAAATTTTCTGTTTTTGCACTAGGAAGATTTATAGCAATAAATGTCAGCATAAAATATAAAGACTAAAGTGAAACCTGTTCTAATTAATAATAATAACATTTAAAATTTATCTTAGCACCGAAGTGGTCTTTGCACCGAAGACCCAACTTTTTTAGAGTAAAAATTTGGGTAGAATATGATGTCTAGAGGTAATCAGAGTCAAAGGTCATATGAGGTCATTTGCACTGAAATTGAATGCACAGCCATTCTTGTATCATGAAAACATGCTGAAAATGATCGAAAGTAATCACCCTTTCAATAAAAATGTAAACTTGCTAAATTCACCTTTGTTCTTTGTGACCCCGGAGATCAAAAGGTCAAATTTTCCGTTTTTGCACTAGGAAGATTTAAAGCAATAAATTTCAGCATAAAATATAAAAACTAACGCGAAACCTGCTCTAATTAATAATAGTAA